ACCCATCCCTTCATACCCCTCCTCATCTTCTCATTCAAGCTTTTAGAAATGTTCCAGAACCCTTCCGGTACAAACATGAGAATTTAAACACAAGAGTTCATTACAACAGCCTAGAAGGAAGTACGGTTGCAGCACTAATGTGGATTCGCATGTTAGATTTGACACAGTTGTGAGCTTCAGATGTCCACAGAGTCAGATTCTGAAGTGAATTTGGCACCAACATGAGATCATATTTCAAATCTGGCTTTGGCCGCCACATTATTAGGTCATCACTTTTGAAAACTTATCAACTTAGACTTGTTGCATGTTCCTTTAAAGATTTTTTTAAAGTGCTACATCTGTGGGAATCTGCATTGTCAAAAAGCCTTAGAATGGATGGATGCCTTCAGTGCACATTTGAAAAAGGTTGAACAAGTTTTGTTGAAACTCGTTGTTTGAAGTATTACTTCCGCTAGTAGCTCACAGAATGGTGAACACACTGAAATACTAAAAGTGCTATAATAAAAACAAGTGGAACTCAAATTTTTAAAAGCTTCAGTATAGCAGGTGGGTGCTAGGCAGAGACCCCCTCCAGTTGTTACTTGCCTCATTTCAAACGATGGAACTCTCAGAGGAGATTTTCACTTGGCAATTTTACTATTGCCTCAGTTGATCTAGGAGCCAGGGGCTTCGACTCCTCATAAAGGAATACAGAGTTTTAACTCTTCCGATTACTCAGTTTGCAAGCAACATTTTCAAGTAGATACAGACTCAACTAATACAGAGATAGTTGCGTGGCATGGCAGATGTAACAGGCAATTACTATGTGGCCCTGAATTGCAACATCACAGCATTGCATAATGAGCAATGTCTTAGGAAATTAATTTGTCTAACCCAAAGATTATGGTTAAAATGTAGTACAATGCATCTTCTGCCAGGGTAAGACTCTAACTGGACCATCTGGAAGTCAATTAATAAACTTCACTGTGAAGTAGGAAGATCAAAGAATAACCCAGTAAAATGGAGCTAAGCACTCCCAAGCCAACTACACTAGAGAACAGAGTGCTGTCCTCTGAGGATGCCGGCCACAGAGACTGGCAAAACATTAGGAAGAACAACCTCTAGAACACAGCCAAAGAGCCCGAAAAATCCACAGCAACCAAAATGGAGCTACTTGGATATAGGACACATTTTCTGTCCCTGTGGAAAAGTTTGATCAATGTAGCACTTACGTGCATGCAGTTTATGCCCTGCTACATGTACAAAAGAAGATGTAACAAATAGCCAAGATAACACTGTTGAACATTGTTGAAGTAGCCCACTTCTGGTCAAAAATAGTCTAATTATTTTAATATTTTATGTATATATATATTTTTAAAAATTACCTATATTTTATTTACATCTGTAATTTAAAATTTTGCACTGTTCTGGTACAAATAAAGAAAAGAAGGAAATATGGTAAAATGGAAACAATTTGAACCATAAAAAAAATAAAGTCCATACAATTCTTAAATATTACATCCCGGGAATGAAAAGATAGGGTAGCAAAGCAAAGCAAAGTGTGCTGCTTCTGTACCGCCCATTGTGATTAAAGAAATTTCTGGTTGGTTTACAATTTGATTATGCATGGTACACATATCCCCTCCATGCATACTTAATTTACCAGCCTCAGAAAAAGGGAAAACTGAGTCAACCCCAAGCTGGCTACTTGAGTCCAGTTTCTAACTCAGGTTGTGAGCAGTTTAACCACTGTGCCATGAGGGTCACTACTCACAAGGCATTAATTGTTTCTATTGTCAACTTCATGTTTTTATATTTTATATTTTATTTTATTTCATGTATATTTTGTGATGCATTTTTGTAATAATAATAATAATAATAATAATAATAATAATAATAATAAATAAATAAATAATAAATAATAAATAATAAATAATAATGAGAAGATTTTTAAGTTATTTTTCGAGAATAAAAAAGCTCAACACTTTGCTAGATGACCAGTAGTTCTGTCCTTCCCATCCCCTGAATTACTGTTCTGTTGAATTTTTATCTGTATCTGCTTCCATCTATGCTCAATACCTGAAATACAGGAGGCGGGAGATCACCTGCCTGAGCTTTTGTTTTCAGAGGGCTTTTGGAAGACCTGTGATTTGGCAAAACTTGGGAGGAGTCAAAGGCAGAACATATCAGATCTCACAGACTCCATCCTAATATATTCCACCCTATTTATGGTTTCTTTTCTTTATGTATGAAAAAATTAGGGTTGTGTCCAGTTATGTTGAAGGAAGAATTTTTAAATTCAGAAGGAAGGATTTTTAATTCAGCAGAAGATTAAGTGAGGGGAAGGGGTGACATTTTGCTGATTTCCCTTTTCTCTTGCGGCTTCTTGCCGCCACCCCCTGTTCTGTAGAGTTGGGTATTAGAGGTAGTATGGATGTTGCAGAAAAAAGGGGGGAATTGGTGAAAATTACAGAAAACTGCTGATCATGGGTCCTTCTGTCAGCAAACATTAAAACAAATTAGATGTATTTTTCTGTTTCTAAGATGACCCAATGTATAAGACGACTCCTCCTTTTCTAACCCCCCAAATTAGAAAATTTGCAAATTTGCAAGATCACACCCCTTTGATCCTGGCACCCTTTCAGGGTTGCGTTACCCCTAAGCCCCGCAGCGCTTAGGAAATGGGTAACAGCCATGAAAAGGCAACGCGCTTGCACTCCTTTGATCCTGGCGCCCTTTCACAGCTGCTTCAGGATCAAAGGGGTTTGATCCTGATGCCCTTTCATAGCTGGGTTGCCCACTTCCTAATCCCCATGGGGCTCAGGAAATGGGTAACACAGCCATGAAAGGGCAGCACGCTCTCACCCCTTTGATTCTGCCGCCCTTTCATGGCTGCTTTACCCACTTCCTAAGCCCCACGCGACAGGGAAAAGCAGCTGCCTTCTGTGTATAAAATGACCTTCAATTTTTTTTCCTAATTATTTAAGTAAAAAGGTGTCGTTTTATACATGGAGAAATACGGTAGTTCTAAATACTTTGGACACTGTTTAAATAAGCTGCAACAACCTAGGACCAGCATAAATGTCATGACATATTTTTATATCTTAGGTACTTAGAAATTGCTCAAAACCAGATCGTGAAATGCGGTATAATTATATATGTGCAACTCTCTATGCTACAGAAGAAGGTGGTATTTAGCTGAGAAACCAAGTTAGCTGAAATGGTTTTGGAGACAAGACCATTATTTTAATAATCTATTTTTGATTCATTCTAATAATTGATGCACTTATGCTGAAATCCTTACACCGAATAGCCTCATTTTTCTAAAAATCCCTCTCCATTTAAAAATAGGCAGCTTTTGAATAATGAGGAATTATAAATATGTTCCTGTTACTAATATAGTTATTCATTTATTTATAGTCAATAAATTTGTAAATTTAAATTCCCCTCTCTTCTTGTGAAGTATAGTATATTTATTTTGCTCCTGCTGCTTTATAAGGAGTAATTATTTTGTAGGATTAAATGCTAAATACTGTTCAGGAACAAATGGTACCTATTCATCTCCTTATAGCCTCTCAATTTAAACAAGGTTAATCCCACAGTTCATGTTGCAAGCTCACTCTACCATATGATGATATCATAACATATCATAACATATCATAACATAAATGAAAGGCAAATTTCACTGTCCCCATAATGCAGTTCTTGCTTGCCATCTGAGCCTCTAAGGAAACTGAACTTTTTGATAAACGTTTTTACTGCTCATTTATACCTGTAATACTGAAAATGAACTGTATTTTTCATTGTTAGAACTTTCCTTAATTTGTTTGCTTTTTCTTCAATTTGAAATATCCTTATCAACATCATAGTTCTGTTTAAACATGTGAAATGCTGTTCATGCATCCATGGGCATGTGTAGGATAGTATCCGTTCACTTGGTTGTGTAGAAGTGTTGCCGTGACACTCAGTACTGTACTTTGCATCCTTTACCATGCTGATCGTCTCCTTTTTCATTTATTTATTAAAGCTGGATGGGACATACTTTGAGAAATGTGATTTTATGGTTAGCCCTTTAACTAGCCTTTTTTAATTAGGTAAGACAGCCACATTTCCAGATGGGAGGTGGCTGCATGGTAATAGCAGTCTCCCTCTGCACTCACTGGGGGAGAGGATATGAGGATTAGAATAGGGGAAAGGCAAGGCATTACTTTTTTTTTCTTCCCTCCTCTATGCAGAGCACTCATAGCTGTACTTTTTGAAGAAGGACCAGTGTTAGTATGAGCAAGCATATTGTACAAAACAAGAATGAAAAAATAAGTAACAATAGTACAGTTGACACATGTGGGTGAATGATGTATACAGATGCTAGAAACTCACTTCAAAAGATATCTTAAGTCATTACCAAGGATGTCACGCTTGGTAATGATTTAATAACCCTTGATTGATGCTCAGTCTTTCTAAGTGAGTTTCTAGTATATACCTTATCTCCGCTGTTTCTCTTTCAAGTCTTGTTTTATCATGGTTCTTTTCCAAATGATCACTTGTAGATTACTCAAACACTACAAAAATGATTTGAAAAAGAAAAAGCTGAGCTAAGGTACGTACAGATGCTGGAAACCCACTTTAAAACACTGGAGATCAATCAAAGGCTCTTAAGTCATAACCAAGTGTGAAATCGTACTTTGATGCCCACAGTTTGCCACTTTGCTGTCTATTCTATTGGTACCTTGTAGAGTGATCATTAGAATATAGTGGTTTGACTTTAACGAGGAAGAGGTTAAATGAGTCACTTTTTTTCTGTAAGGAAAACAGATCTTAAAGATATAGTGAAGAAGGGAATACCAAAAGGAACAAAACAACTGAGAACGTAGAAACCATTGCAGTTTCTGTTTTTGTTTTCTGTTTGCTTTTGTTGTTGTTGAAAAAACAGGTTTAGACATGTTTTAAGAGCATTTTACAATGCAACCGTAGATAACCAAATGTTTAAGGAGAGTACTGCTGATGTTTTATATCATCCAGATCTTTTATAACAACCAGTAGATGAATATCCCTGTTCCAAAGGGTGTATGGTATTTTTCTTTGATGCTTCTGTAGCATTAAGGTTTGCATTGTTCTGCCGCTAATAACACTATTTCTATTCTAACATGGGCTTAATAACTTGGATCGGTCCAGTGTTTGTTTTCTTCAAATGCCTTCAGTGCCAGTTCTGTAAAGGATGCAGGATAAAAAATGGTGGTCATTATGCGTAACAAACATTCATAAAACTTACCACTTTTTTCATAACTGATGCTTAAAGCAGCAATTTCCCAGTAGTATTTGATTTTACTAGAATTGTCCAGGAACATATGCCATGGGACAACTGAAGTATTTATGTTTAGCCCTCTTGAACAATTTGTGCTGTAATTGTTCTTCCGCATTTCTCGAGACTGCTGACTTCCATTCCTGCAACATATGTACTACTTTTTTTCAAATTTCTCATATTGTGCAGAGACAAGAAACTTAGTAGAAAAAAGTTAATGGTTACCTGACACTGCTATCAACCTACTAACAATTAAAGTTTGGACACTGCCAGATTCATCAGTGAGAGCTCCAGGTGGTGCAGAATGGCTATGGGAAGCACATGTCCCACCCAACGTACCTTCTAATTTTCAGCCCTGCTGGGTGGGGCTCCGCCTCTTGCATGCATGGCTTTGCCCTGTGCGCACACACAACTCTGCCCCTCCATACGCTGGCTTCCGTCGCAACCAGACTCTAACATGATCACTGTGTGGAGGAGGAAGGCAGCTGTGCGAAGGGAAACTGAGTTGTGTGCTTGACCAACTTAAGGGGAACATTGGTTCCCTACACAGACACAATTTATTGCAGCAAGAATGTACTTAAGTCTGGCTTTGTTCAACCCCATCCCCTCTGCCATAGAGAATCAGAGAAGTAATTTGTTCTTGATCATCAGTGGTTCAGGACTATGTCCGGATGCTAACTATCTAATACTAACTTCAGTTTGTTGAAACAGGCTATCTTCATAATCAGTTGTTAAAATTTGCTTTTCAAGCAAACCGTAGTTAAGATTAACCCTTGTATGTTGAATTTAATGACATGGTATGCTACTGTTTATTTAAAAGTATAATCAAATGTTCTAAATGACTTGCTTTCCTGCTGGTGGGGGTGTGGTACAGGAGAGTGTGTAAGCTTGAGACTCACATAACCTAATTCCCAGCATGCTAAACTATAATTTATCACAATATTAATTCATACAGCTGATATGTAGTAATTCGCCTATAACCTAGGAAATGGCAGCTATCTCATATAATTCTTGGGAATCAGGCAGCAGTTTTATTCCGTTATTCCATTAAAACAAATGTCCTGCATCTCCAAGTTACCAAGTATTCTGTACTTCTTTCAGAAATTTGGATACTGTTTCTCATGGTCATTGAGCAAATCTTACTTTGCAGGAGTCAATAGTGGGTTAAACAATTGCTCCAACAAATCCACTAACGCAATGGGACGTCCTATGTCTCTCTTACTCCCATCACTGACATCCATCTGTACCACTAAAAAAATCTACTCCTGAGGTTCTCCCAATCCTCCAAAGAAGATATGGAGGGAACAAAACAGCTATAGTGAGGAGACAGGAATCACTGACTTCTGGTTTTGCTGACAGCCATATATCTTTCAGAAGAATGAGCATCGGAGCCAAGGCATTATATTAACACAATATTCATGTTATAGCTAAGAATGGAAGGATTGCTTATGGAGGATTCAGAAGGTGGCTCTAGGGGTCTTATTTTATCTGCTCAAGAGGCACCTCTCAGAGTTTAAAAATTTAACCTGGAGGTAAGTGATTCAAATGCTGCCCAGGCTCAAATCCAAAGTAAGGATTAAGTGCATATAAAATTAATTTTGAGGGAATGTGCTCTTTTTGAAGACCATGAGAAGAAAACATTTAAACCGTAAGCACTTTCTATCCAGCACTTCCTTTTGGCCATGTTTTAACACAAAACAGCCAAACTGATTTAAGGGAAAAAAAGGTTGAAAAGAGAAGAGTGATTAAATAGTAGCTCTCACTTTAATGTGTCTCGGATATTTGCCAGATTATTTTAAAAGGTGATGACCTAGTTTATTTTTTTCATGCCTATGGTGGATGAATCATTTTAAAAAAATTTCTCATGCTGTCTCTTTGGCTTACTGTTTATCAAGTATTTAAGTAAAACAAGTTGACAGTTTTTTTTAAAAAAGCATTTATCAAAGGGTTCACTGTCCATGTTATCATCGTATGAGAAAGAGAATGTGTGTGTGCGCATATGTGTGAAGAATACTGAGCAAAGGCATTTTATGTGGAAGTGTAATGTTTGAAGATGTGAGCCATTTCAGAAATGTCTTTTGGAGTAACTCAAGTTGTGTGTGTGTGTGTTGTTGTTTTTTACAGAATTTACATCATTAATCTGAAGGACCAGTAATGGAAATACTAACTCGGGCATAGCCCTCTCTTTGCTGAACTGTCTCACATTGGGAACATATATAAAAAATAGGGTGTTTGTTCCCAGTTTTTGTAGGAAGAGTTACTTTACAAAAGTAAAGAGCTTTACTATCCAGATATTAAATTTCAGACAAATGGAACAGGACAGTGTTTTTGTGAGATGACCTTCTGGAATCCTATTTTTGTTTATAAAGTGTGGAATGTATTTTTTCCTACTTGCAGTCATTAATATTATTATTTTAATTCAGTCCTTGCTTTCTGAAACTGATACAACAGTATGTCAGTCACAGCAGATACCTTCTCCCGTATAGTTTGCTCAGTTTCCTGTTTTGTTTTGTTTCCAGCAGACCATTTTATTTGGCGCCAGTTTTGTAAATAGGAACATTTTTAGTTTTAAAATAATGTTTTAGTCCTTAATGATAAACATTGCACTTTAAGCGTATGCCTTCATAGATTTCTGTCTTGTACTACCTTTCAGTTGTGTGGAAGAAGTTCACAAGTAGCAGGAGCATCACTTTCTAACAACCCTCATGTTCTTTCCTCTGAACAATTCTTTTAACAATCCTTCAAAAGTTTTGAAGAGGCATTTCAGGATGGCTACAAGGAAGAAGCGCTTCGTTTCCTCCAAAGGACCTCACCCCCATCTCACCCTCACTT